AACCCTTTAGTATGTAAAAAACCCTGGGAAACCACCAAAACAATGAGCAGGCAGGGGAATGGTGAGGGTCAGAAGAAGGTTGCCTGCCTATTTGTGGAAAAACAGAAGGCCAAATTGGAATCACGGGGGCAGATTTGACCTGCGTGCCTGAAGTTGTGCATACCCAGTGTATGGAATATTTTAGCTTCTGATAGTCCGTGGGGAGGTATTAAAAAAAGAAAGTCCAGAACATGGAACTGGGAAACACTCAGAGGCTATGTGATGTGTTTTAGAATGCCTCCTGTGAAAAGCATTCCCTGATTCTCAAATAGCCTCCTGGACCTGCTTTCCCATCAAACCGTTTCCCAACATGCCCTAACGATAGAATTTGCCCTCCACTTCCCACGACTCTCCTTGCTTTTCACCCTCCCTGGGATGGCCTTCCTTGGGTGATTATCTGTGATTCACAGCACTTTGGCACTTGTTAGCTGGACAGATGGAAGCAAAGACAGTGAGTGAGGAGAAACTGTCTTTTAATGACTTCCTGGAAGAGTTGGCCAGCAGTTTCTCTCTCGTTTCTCTCTTTTTTCCTGCTCATCCTTGCCTGCTTCCATGGCTTGTTGCTGCTTCCTTTGTAATTGATCAGGAGCAAATAGCATGAGAGGAAAAGCAGTGATTGACTTGGAGAGCTCAGCTGCAGCTGCCACAGAGTTGCCTCTTCCCCCGTGACGGCCAGAGAAATAACAACCACTGTGCATCGGGAGCTGGCAGTTGTCCTCTTCTCACCTCTCATCACACAGTCTGATGCGTCTCTGTGCAGAACCTGGTGTGCTGTGTGGGAAGGAGAGGGTGTAATCGCAGAGTTTCCATCTCCTTCTGTTTGTCTCACATGCATCCCTTCAATATTCTGTGTAGTCTCTCTTTGACAGCAGGCAAGATCAATGGGTTAAATTCTGCATTAAGGAACTGCTTTTCAGTCTTTTCCCTCTAGTTTCCCTCAGCTGCATAAATGGTGGAAGCATTACCTTCAGTTCTGCAAAATGCCTCTCTTTTGGGGTGCTCTTGGTATTAAATCAGGGTGGACGTCACACAGCCCGTGGTCCAGAGGCACCCACTCGGGCCATCCTTCCTCTGTCAATACTGAATTTAATGCCAACACAACTCGTCGGCATGAAGACCACTGGCCAGGTCTACTGGGTCTCATGACTGCCTTACTAAAGCCCCAAGCAGGAGTTAAAACACTGAATCCAGATCCATATTTGGTTCCGCCAGAGCTCTCTCCCTGTGTGGAATCCCCTCCTTTCCAACACTGTTGCTGCTGCCCTGTCACTGGATTCCTGCCACTATCTATAATAGTCTAAAGTGCCTGATCCTTCCTCATCTTGGAAGCTAAGTGGTGTCCAGCCTGGTTCATATTTGGATGAGAGACTTGAGTCCTGCATTGAGCACTGGGTTGGACCTGATGGCCTGCTGTGCCCCTTCCAGCTCTGACTTACCACTTGGTTGCCCTGCTGCTCTTGCCTCTTATTACTGTGCACACATTTAGTGGGAAGCTAAAGAGGTGGCAGTTGTGTGTGTGTGTGTGTGTGGGGGGGGGGTGTAGTAGGAGGGTCCCAGATCAGTAATGGGTCCTCTGCTAAGATGTGGCATTAAGGTGTGGCTTGGCAGATGCCCACGGATGCTGACCTCTCTTGCAAGGCCTGAGAACGCTTGTCTGTGCATTGCAGGGGAAAATTGGTGGTGATGGCCACGTGATCATTCAAGGAATCTTGTCCGCTTTGGCCAATCTTCCTATTAAAGGAACTGCTGATGTATTTTACTTCTGACAATTAAGCTGTGGTATTACTGTGTCACTTATGATTTGCCACCTATCCCTTTGTTATTTTTCCTTTCTGCTGAGAGCCTTCAGTTTTTTTCATTTGTTGATGGTGATTTAATTTCCCCACCATGGTGGATTTATTGAAATTTGACATTCCCTTCCCCAAAACTCTGCCTGAACTTTTCACCCATCATCTGCATCATAGAAAAGTACATTTTACCCTTGGTTTTCTGCTCTGTATCTTCTTCATTTGACGGTACGTCAGCTGGGGCTCCTGGGATCAACACCCTGACTAATACTGCATGACCGGCCTTGTTCTCACTCCATCAGCTCACAGGAGTTCGGACATAGTGAGATGGCAAGAAGACAGAGTGCCTTGATAGAGCACTGCTGAAGCAGCTTGCTGGGTTTCCCCGTTTGGAGGAGAGGAGAAATCCTAAGACACCAGCCTGTGTCCTTGCCTCTCAGGCAGTCTCTCCAGAAGGGAAGAATTGAAAGAGCTCTCTCTGTGTATGTACAACAACACAAGGATGCCTGCCATTATGACATGATGGTATCTATTTACATTCAGAGTTGAATATGTTTTAGTCAGTCTGATTGTGTTCAATGATACTTAATTTCAGCTATGTGTGCTTGGGCTATATACACCCGCAAACACACTGGGATTCAGCCAATGACATCTCCATGCTTTCATTTTCTGGTTGTTTTTGGAGGGGAGGAAATCAGAGGAGTCTTCCACCATTTAACTCAAACGAGTGCGCAAATTTGTCAGTGTTCAACTCCTTTGTTGAGAGAACTGCACTGGTTGCCTATTCATTACTGGGCCAGGTTTAAGACTTTGGACCTAGTGTATAAAGCCCCAAACAACCTGGAACCTGGATGCATGAGAGAGCACTTCTCCCTTTTCAACTGACCCATTATAGCAGTCACCAGCTGGCATTTTCCCGGTGGTTCCACATGGACTCATGGCCAATTGGAGCCCACCCAGAGAACCATCCTTTGTCTGGTGGCTCCATTCCCATGGAACTCGCTGCTTCTGAAGGTTAGGCAGGTGCCAATATTGTGTTGTTTCAGTGTCTTTTGAAAACATCTTTATTCCCGGAATCCTTCCTCAGTTGACCTGCCACTGTTTGCTTATTTGATTTTTACTGATTTTTAAAATTAACTGCCGATTCTAATATAGTATTTTATTCATTTTATCATTTATCTTTGTATTGTTATCTGGTTTGGAACATATTTAGATACAGAGAAGTATTAAAAATTGCAGTTGCATGTTAGTCTTGTCGAGGGGGCAGACCCTGGGGGATAATAAATATCCTCCTGCCTAACATACTCCACAAAGGTCCACAAACATGAGCATGAACATAAGAACAGCCCTGCTGGATCAGAGCAATTCTCCATCTAGTTCACATTCTGTTCATGCAGTGACAGGGACCTCAGGAGCTTCCCAGCAGAATGTTGAGTGCAAAAGCACCCTCTAGTCCAACTTTTCCAACCACTTCTAATACTGGAGGGCTTCAGTGAACAGGAAATGATATCGGTTCACCTTACCTTTCAGAGATAGAGGCCATAAAGTTTTCTCTTTAGCTGGAGCCCCCTCTCTGCCACTGCCAGCTCTGTAAACAGTGTTTGTACACCATGACAGAGCCCTGGGTCTTCACAAAAGATCAAGGGGCTCAAAAACTCAAGAATCCTGCTCCTTAGCTACTCCAGATAAGGAGCAGATAAGGAGCACTTGCTCTTTACCTAGCACATATCCATCTCTTCCATACTGGTCTGCTCATAACACACAGTGGTCTCCAATCTGCTGCTGTCTCTTTAGGTATGTCCCATTTTTCTATTGTCCAAATGTCTTCCATCCAAGAACTGACCATGGTCGTTGTGTCATGTGTCTTCAGAGCACGCCTTGGGACTTTGTCAGTCTGCATAGGCAGAGAAGCTGAGGTACAACAGTGAGTGAGGGAAACTATCTTCTGGGTGCATCCTGAGGTCTGGAACAGCTGGCCTCCTTTGGCCTTGCTGAATCAAGGAAATCTGAAGCCCTGTCCTGCAATAGAGCCCCTTCACCCTAACGCTGAAGCTCTGAAACAATAGTACTGAACCAGGAATAAAGCCCTTCTTGAACTGTAAAGCTGCCGCCCTTTTGGAAAGCTCATTTGAAAATCAAGCATGTATGCTCTGGGAAGCTATGAGCAATAGCTGACTGCGTGTCTTAAAGACTGATAGCTTATAAACTCATCAAAGTTCCTTTCACTAAATTCCTCATGTCAAGATCCCCCTCATAGCTGATTGAGAAGTGCAAGGAGAGAGCGAGCGAGAGAAGAAACCACAAGCTGCTGGGTACACTGGAATATAGCAGCATAAAGCAATCAGGGTTGTTTTAATCTCCCCACGTTTCTCCTGTGTGAATTGGTGATTGCCAGGTGCAGAGATTTCTAAAAAAAGATTCCAATGCTCCCTCCGTTTATTTTTAATAAAGCGACAGATGAAAAGGTTTGTTTAAGCTCTGGTCTGTACGAGTCAATGACAGCATCTGTCCTTCCAATGAAGAAAGCTTGATGTGCATCTAGCAGCTGGCAGAGTGCGTCAGAGGTGGCACAGGCATCTGGGAGAGCACTGCAGTGCCATTGGCGTCAAGGCTCCGAAGAGGCGCGATGACTCAGTTGGGTTAGTTGCTTGGCTGGCTGTGGCACATGTGCACATCCGATGCTGATCTGAGCCGGCTTTGCAGAGTGTGATGCATCAGATGGCCCAATGCGTTCTTGATCTGTTCCAAGAGTCCGGATGGCCTCACACCATACAAAGACCCTCTGCCTAGTGTCCGTCTGTCTGTCCATCTGTCTAAGGTTTCTGCCTTACCTTTCCAGCTATGATTTAGCAGGTATGTGTTAAAGATGAAGACATTTTTCTTGGTTGTTTTATTGTTGCACCAGCTTGTTTTATTTGGTTGTCACACACACGCACTCATGGTGAAGAGATTGGATATAAATGTTTTCTTCAGTAAAACAAAGATGTTTTCAGGTACTTCTTTTGTTGTTTAGTCGCAAAGTCATGCCCAATCCATCACGACTGCCTGGACAACATTCCTCAAGGCTCCCCTGTCCCCCACCATCCTTCGGAGTCCACCCATGCCCACACCCACCACCCCAGTGACCCCATCCAGGCACCTCATCCTCTGCCATTCCCTTCTCCTTTTGCTGTCAATCCTTCCCAGCATCAGGATCTTCTCCAGGAAGTCCTTCCTTCTCATTAGGTGGCCAAGGTATATGAGTTTCATCTTCAGTATCTGGCCTTCTAAAGAGCAGTCGGGGTTGCTTTCCTTTAAGATTGATTGGTTTGATCTCTTTTCAGGTACTGTAGGAGAAATATAAAATTGTCCTTGGATCTGCTGTTGCTGTGTCTGGAATGGCCTTTCAGCAAGATGCTTAGCTTTGAGTTAGCTCTAGAAGGGGCAGCAGGAAATAGTGGTAGAAGTGGGTTTGAATGTGTGACTTGGGAGCCTCCTATACACACAGCCATTTCCTTAGCTTAGTAGGGCTGCTGAGAGTGGGGTGGAACAACCCCCAGACTGAAGCCTCTTCTGTACCTATCACCCAAGACCTTTTAACATTAATGTTGAGGCTGTCTATGTACCACCCATAAGTGCTACTTGCAAGCCATGGCTTTTTTTTTTTTTTTTTGCACAATGATACTTCATTTTATTTCTATTTGTTTTTAAGTGCATTTAATCCCTGCCTTTTGGCAAGGAGTTCAGGGTATTGTAAAAGTTTCTTCCGCCTGTATTTTCTTCTCACAATGAACCCATGAGGTAGGCTAGGATAAGACAGAGTTCCCCAAGGTTACCCATTCAGTCTTCATGGCTGAGTGGGGAATTAAAGGATCTTCAGGCTCTCATTCATTACTCTGAACTGGGAGTGCCACACTTGCCCCAATCCAGATATTGTTGGACAGTGAGTCTCACCAGCAATGTGGAGGTTACCATCTCATATCTGGAGGGGAATCAGATTGTAGAAGATGACTGTACCACATGGGCTAATATATGCAGTATGCTTCCATTGAATGATGACAGAGAAACTCCAGTAAGCCAAAATTTGGATTTGGAAGAATCTACTGATTCTATCGAAGATCCAAGGATGATGATATAATTGTTACTGTTGTTATTATTCCCTAGTACAAGACACACTACTGGAAAGCTTGCAGCTCACGGAACGTCTTGTATACTGACAATTCTTAGGTTAAGAAGACTCTCGTTTGCTTCACAAAGCTCCCCCTGCCATCCCACTCTCTTGACATCTTTTGCAAATAATGCACTCTCCTAAGGAAATTACATATACTTTAATATACACAGCTAAACTCATCAAAACACACCTACCAGTTAATTAAAGAGCAAGTGCCCTGTTGAAGCCTTGCCTGGATCTGGAGGGTTTAATAAGGCTTTAATAGCTCTTGTACGTCTTGACACATGTAACCAGCCATAGGTGGCATAAGAAGCTTCAATCCACGTTCCTTAAAAAAAGAAGAAGAAGAAGAAGAAGAAGGGGGAAAATAATCAATAGTTATTTATTAAAGGTGGAATAGCTACCTTGTTAATTTTAAATTAAAGCCCTAGCTGGGAGATTGACAAGGCTTGATTTAAAGTATTAAAGAGTTAGCTGGCACGGTGTGTGCCAGGAATCTTAAAAAACTGCTTATCTTGGTCCATTGTTGGCTGCCAAGTCTTGCATCTGGGGCCTTTGAAACACCTGCAACTTCTCCTCTGATGTGCTGACTCAGGCTTGTGTGCCAGTGTTTCCTGAGGAAATAAAAAGCATTAAAGACCCAGCAGAAGGTTCCCTATCAATTATAAATCAGAACTTTATTGCTGAGGCCGTCAGAGTCTGTGGCATCAAGGCAGAGAGTGAGCTGGTAACTTGCTGTGGCGGCCTGCCCAAGAGCGCAGACAAAGTGGGGTTTGTTTCTTTGTTTATTTACTGTTTACAGACAAGCAGAGACTTCTGGCAATAGTAGCTGGGCAGCAGGACATCAAGATGAACATCAAAAAATGGGTAGGAAGGGAAAGATGGCCGTGTTGGGAGCTGCAGTGACTGGTGGCTCCAATGTCAGTGTGGTGCCGCATTTGCGCTGAGCTTGAAAGAATTGTGCTTGATGTTGAACCTGTTTTGAGGATGGACTTCAGCACCACGGATAGCTCCTTCAAGGTTTGGCCTTGAACCGAGTGAATACATTGCCCCACTGACATTGGAGGCATGGGCATCCAGTAGTCAGGACAGGATGGGCTGGAATGAACACTAGGATCCTCTGAATCAATGCTCTGATGCCCCTAGTGGTAATCCAGTTGAAACTGCAGTCTATAAAGGTTATGATACTCTCCCTGGCTCTGTGGTGGCTCCCCTGCCCTAGGCAACCCTTCTGTTTTCCTGGACCTTGTAGAACTGTAACAGTTGTCGGGGTTGCTTTGCCTGACCAGCACTCAGCCTTGCTCCTTGTCTGCTTGGCCTCTTCATTTGGCTAATGATGACTATCTCTCCACTGTTATCTGAGGGTTGGTGCCTCTCCCCACCAACCCTGATGCTCCTGTAGAAGGCTTACAGGCTGGTATCTTGAGAGGTGGCTCATAGAAATATTAGAGAGGCTAAGCATGCATGTGGGCAAGGGAAGGGAAACTTGCAAGCCGTGTACATGATGCAAAAGCAAGGGCACCCAAGCATCTTTTTATAATCTATATCGGACACCATTGTTTAAGGAATATGTATGGCTCTATCCATTGTGGTCATTACCACAGTCATGGGCTATATATAAACCATGATAAAATCATATTTTCAGCCATCTTTTTTTGGTGGTGGTGAAAACAAGTTCTATATATAACCTCTGAGATTCACAGAATTATAATCAATAGATTTTCACTCTTCACATTTAAAGGAAAAGGTTTACTTTTTACTTCTTTAGAAGCTCCCAAATTAATCTCAGTAAACATTTTTCTCAATTTTTGAACAGCCACTGCAAATCCTGCCTACCTTTATCCCTAAGAAATGTGTTGGTCTTGGAAATAGCAAGAAAGTTCTTGGAGACCACTTTATCCTCCAGTGTTCAGAAGGCCTGAAAGGCATTTGCTGAACAAAGAGACTCCTTTGCAAGCTTACTAGGAATATGTCCACCTGTTCAAAAAACATCACTTTAGGTATTGGATTGCACCATGTTTTGCGTTTCTGATCTTTCCTCCCCTCTAAAGAAAATAGTGTACAGTGTGCTGCTCCAACTTGAAATGTAAAATTGTGTACTGTGCATGCATACCATATGCCATGCCAATTCCTCAGGCTTCAAGGCAGATATCACATTGCACTGAAGTTTGCATTTTTCTCCCTCCCCTTAAAAATGCATGAGGAAGGCCAGCTGGTGTTCCAGCTTGAAAATAACAAAAGCAAAAAAAGAAGGATGTTGTTAAACATACACGTCAAGTTTAGGAAAGCAAGAGCACAGGAAGAGTCATGCGGGATGGCCTGCACAGTCAAAATTTCCCAGCCACGGCCTTAAGGGCACCTACAAGAAGGATGTGAGATGAAATTCAGTCATGGGAGCTGCCAGCTCCATCAGAACAATGGCTTGCAGGGGGATTCTAAACCTTTCCCTCCATGCCGTTTTCCAGGCAAGATCCTTTGTATCCCTATCCCAGCTGTTTGTCTTTGAGTGGCGAAAGCTTGTGTGTGAGAGCTCACATGCACCTAATTGTTGGAGTTTATAGGTTAATTTCTCCTTTTAAAGCAAGTCATCTTGACTGTATGATCTTATAATAGATGTGTGTAATTGTCCCTTCTATCCCTTGATAAAATATATTTGCTCAGCAGAGATCCACATGGCATTTGATCCAGGATTTATGTTCCACAAGAGAAAAAGTGTTGCTCATTGATGCTTCCCCTGTCCTAGCTTAGGAGATACCTCCTCACCTCTGCATCACAGCTCACCCCATTTAGTGGGGCCTCCTGGTTCTCTGTGAAGCCTTTTCTGGGGAGTAGGGAAGTCCCAGGTACTGAAGATGTAACTTTGGCCACCTAATGAGAAGGAAGGACTCCCTGGAGAAGAGCCTGATGCTGGGAACGATTGAAGGCAAAAGGAGAAGGGGATGGCAGAGGATGAGGTGGCTGAATGGGATCACTGGGGCAGTGGGTGTGGGTGGACGCCGAGGGATGGTAGAGGGCAGGAGAGCCTGGAGGAATGCTGTCCATGTGGTCGTGATGGATTTGGCACAACTGTGCGACTAGACAACAACAACAAGGGAAGTCCACTTCCATCAGCACAGTAAATCCAGCATAAATCTGGACCCAGCCCCAAGGCATTTATAGAAATGCTATCAAGACATCTGTCTCTTGCAGCTGCTGAACTTCTGCTCTTTGAAGATACCACAAAACGTGTTTCAATGTGATGTTTTCCCTGGGCAGCCAGAGAGCATGAGTTTTTCTACAGAAAACACTTGTCCCTCCCACCTCACAGTTGTTTATGGGTTCTTCATACGATGGCATGGCCCTCCACTTTTGCTTGCTTGATAAGCAGCACTTTCTGTTAGAATTTTTTAGAGGAAGAGAAATGGGGTGTTATTTTCAATGGGAGGAAGGGAACACTATTTCCTCTTGCGTATTTGCAATATCCTGCTCTGCCACAATGCCACCTACAGATATGTATGAGGAAAGCAGGGAAGGAACCACTCCTTATGTAGTGCTCAGATATCATCTCTGTGACAACACTGAAAGTAGAGAAAGGGAATTTACAGCCTTATGTTAAAGGCCCCAAATGATGCCAAGGAACCAGCTCAATTTTCCTGTAAGGGAAGGTTACAATCTTGGGGCTTTTTCAGTTTAGGAAAAAAAATGAATGAGGGGACCTTATGGATGTGCTAAAAGTCTTTGCTCTCATAGAACTGGCAGTCCCCATGGCTGAATTTCATTTGTTTGTTTTCTGTCCTTTCATTTCAATTTTAATGAAACTCCAGGAGAGCCAGTCATAGTTTTCTCCATGCAATGCATAGTTTAGTACTGAGAAATGAGCAAGACCAATTTGTGCTTGCTGTGCACAGAGCATGCCTTACCAGTAGCATGTAACCAGGTTTTGAATGTGCTCCTCTAAGAAGACCAAAGCTTCCCAAAGCCAGAGCCTGGAAACGCTAAGCCACCTGGGCAGGAGCGGTGATCGCTTGGATAGACATCCCCAAGGCGAGAGCTGGTTGCAAGTCCTTTGGAAGGGGCCGGTAAAAGCTCTCTTTGCCAAGAGCATTACTGGGGAAAGCTCAGCATTCCTCTGGGGGATGGGGAAGGAGCTTAACTGCCATTGTTTATCCCTTTGTTTGAGCTTCACATATGCTGCTTCAGATGTAGATGGGAGTCACCTGGGTCCATTAATGGAAAATAAAGGTCATGGCTAGAGGCGCCAATTGCTGTTTTACCCCCTGCTTTTGCATGCCTCACCTACATTTATGCCCCGTGTGTGTGTGTGTGTGTGTGTGTGTGTGTGTGTTCCAATCTATTTCATTTTTCTTTTTGATCTTGTAAAAGCAATCAGAGGAGGGTTGGGCTAGAGCTCAGCAGAAGCATTCCTTGGATGAAACCAGTCAGGGCACAGCGAAGAAAGTTCTGTTTCAACTTCCCTTTCCAGATCAGGGAGGTGTGCAGTGTCCATTTCAGGGGTGCAGAACTTCAGGGCTTGGGTCTCAGTCTGACCCACTGTGGTCCCAACCAAATCACACCACAAGATAAAACACAATAAAACATAAAAACCGTAACATATTGCACATTAAAAACAACAACAAAATGCAGTAAAACATACAGAACAAAAGTCTATGGCAATTTTTTTTTAAAGGAAGGTCTTTGCCTGGTGCCAGAAAGAAAATAAGGACAGCACCAGGCGACTCTCTCTCCTCTGACTCGCTCTGTTTCTATGTTTCTATCTCCCCCCAGCCAATACCCGCTGAAGCCTTTGGAGCCAAAAAATGCTATTCATTTTGCAACCGATGTCATAAATCTGATAAGTTAGCAACAGTGGTGTGTAGAGACCCTGAAATCAGTAGTCAATTTTCAACTGACAATATATTTGCCAGGTGTGTGTCTGTCTGTCTTATTTATTCTTTGTTTCATTTTTATACTGCCCAAATAGCCAAGGCTCTTTGTGTTCCATCCTATCTGTTTGTTTATGCATCCTTGTCTTTCAACCACAGGCCTCCTGATTACTTCTCCAAATCATCATAAAGAAGTGGATGCGTGTCAAGCAGGGCTTATGCACTGCTCCTGCCTTCCATATGGCCCTGGGGGCTAGGGAGGATTGCTCAGTTCATTTGGGTGTGCAATTCAGGAATCAATCTGAGCATGGCACAAATTAGCCAGCCACCATGATGCTTTTCTCAAATTAAAATGGCATCCAAACGACAGCTGAAAATAAATGAATGATATCTCTGAAACATTACCAGGGAGTTTTAACCACCGTTTTAATAAGAAATAGCAAATATGATATCTGAAGGATGCCTTAGGGTAGAAACTAGAGCCAAGCAAAAGTCATGGCTGTGTCAAATGTATCTGATAGCCAGCAGGTCTGATAGGTTTGCATTTCAAACCACTGTTGTGATTTGGGATTCGTTTTCTCTTCCCCAAAGTCTTGCTGGAGGCAACATTTTCTCTGGTTGTGGTATGTGCGCTGAATTCACCTCATTTTATTTAATGCTCTAAAAACAAGCAAAACAAAGCAAAACAAACCCAGACAGGGCTGACTAAATACACAGATAGGAGTTTAACAGCTTTCTGGACCCTGAAGGTGATAAACTGCAGATTAAATTCGCATTCTCCTTCCACTCCATAATGCTCTGCAAAGCAGCTCTACTTTATATCCTGATACTGTTTAGTTTATCCTATTAAAGACCATCACTAAAGAGACAACTTAGTAGCTCTGTGGGTGTCTGGATTTCCATAGTGTCAGTGTTTTCTCATTGGTTGTTTATGCTGAGCCTGAAATTTGGTTTCCTGAATGGGGTTCAGCAAAGCTCTCCCATTCGAGATGGTGTGTAGCACCATGTTTAGCTAATGCATCGAGTGAGACAGGAGCTCTGATCTTACACATGCTGACTCAGAAGCCAGTTGTCTAGTAACTGCAAAGTAACTGTGCATATAATATTTGTCCGCTTGATCATAACTCATGCCAATGTTACTGATATGAATACGATTTAGCTTTGATGTACGAAAAAGCAGAACTTCAGCTTATGGAAGTTCTCTCAGTTTGTCCATCTTGAAGGCCATTTAACTTGCATCTTGGACTGTGAAATTTGTTTCTCTGTGTGTGTTTTTTCTCTTGAAAAATCTTTATTTCCATGCATAGTTTTCCAAACCTTTGAAATGCTTTCTCCTATTGATCTAAAAAGTTTGTGTGCTTTTTTGAAAAGTACACATTTTTCAGGCACATTTCTCAAATGTATATGTGTTGTTGAACACATAAAGGTGCGGGGTGGGGGAGTTGTGGGTCATGTTTCAAGATCAGAAATGTACACATTTCTGAACTACTGATATTTGAGTCCATGTTTGGCCCTGAAGTAAGGATTCCCATCACAGGGAATTCATTCTAATTTGCTGAATTTCCTACCAGAAACAGACTGAGGAGAGAGAGAGAGAGAGAAATGGGTGGGCCAATTTGATATCTAGCATCTGGTGAAGCTGACCCCAAGGCAACTGTGCATCCATTTCAGAAAGCCCTGCAACATGGCTGAGTCGCCGGCACATACAAACTATACAATCTGTGCACATTTACCAAGGTTCTCCAAATTCCAACCTGAAGTTGATTCTGACTCACACTGTGTCAGGTTGCAAACTTTGCTGTTGCTCTTGGTGTTTACTGGTTATTGCATGAAAATCGGTGTGCGTTTGTGTGGACATTTTTTCAGATGAATGCGTTTGGGGCAGGAGGGCATAAGCTGCAGCTCAGTTCATGCTTGGCTCTGGCAGATGCCCATTGGGCAAATTCTGGTCAGAAATGAAGTGAAACAAATTTCTCACACACCCCAAGCTTTGGAGCACTGCTGAGAAGCACTGGATGTTGTGTTGGGAATCTTGGCTGGTGATTCTCAATCCAAACACAACGTTCATCGCTACAGGTGAGAGGTGCGATGTTAGTAGAGCAGATGGCAGCACTGTGATTAAGTTTGTCTAAAGTGACATTTTGAGCCACTGTTGGAGGTCCACCCTCATGACAGATATCGGAACAAATTTAAAGCAGGCAAAAGATTTTCAATAAGATCAAGGAAATATTTCAGGGGAGTTACACCAACTGCAGTTTGAGCTGATATAAGAAACCCATCTGCTCTTAATTTTTTCCCCACAGGTTTTCACTGCTCAAGCCAAGATCAACCAATATCAAATTTACACTTCTAGATGAACAACCTCTATCTTTTCTGTGCCTGTGCTCATACACATCCAAATTGCAAATGAGATTGAAAGTATTTTGCCTTGAGGCCTTCTCTGCTGGTAATTAATAAGGGCAGTGATGAACGACACTAATTGTGTTGATGACTATGACCATGAATTACTACTATTACAATTATGGGAGCTATTCTTATTATTACTGCAGCAAATCACTGATATTGTGATCGTTTCTGTAATGTGTAGCAGTGGAAATCTGGCCATAGGGTAGAGTGCTCTGGTTCAGGAGGGTACCCATCTTAATGTACAAGGTGCTCAGTATAACCTGTTCTTGGAGTTGACTAAAATTAGGTCAGGATGCTATTTAGTGCCACTGCCTAGGGGGAATGATCCAAATGTATAATCTTGTGCAAGTCCAAACAGAAAATGTCTAGTTTAAAAGGGTGGGCACTTCATTTCAGAAACTGAAGGTCCAAACATGAGGTTGTCAAAGTTACCTGAATCCCACCCTGGCACTCAACTGTGCATCAAATTGTAAGGGTGTTTTTCCCCTCCGTTTTGAATGCAAAAATCCAGGAGCATTTCTCTGTATATATTTTTTGAAACATAGGCATCAATTATGCACTGTTTTGAAATGTAT